GCCGCAATTAGGCTGCAAATGCCAAAGCGAAACGATTGAAGCTTTTGGCCAGAACGTGCGCATATTTGTGGCTGCAGACATGCAATGGGCCAAATATAATTTGTTAGCATGCCAAAAGCGAATTATAATGGAAATATTCTTTCATTTATTGCCTTAAATAAGTTAAGAGGCTTTTTAACAATTTTAAAAGAACCAAATAGAAAATGCAATTCAAAAAGAACTCTCTCATTCTGGCTCTCTCTCTATCTCTTTCTGTATCTGGCTTCAGTCAAGGTCTGAATCTGGTATGCAACTAATAAGCCTCCCACGGCGGCAATTCATTCTATAGCCCAGCGAACAGCGAGCATACAAAGCAGTCGGTGTGCGATGTGGCGTATGATTATTGCGTATACGCAACGGGTACACTTTAACATTATGAATTATGCATGGGCTTTACAACAATTTTTGCGGTACACCCGACGACTGCCTCAATAAAAAAATCTGCGTTTTGGCTCTCATAAATGTTTAACGCACCTGCAACGGCCACAAGCCAGCAGCTGCCTCTACGCTTGCCAATGGAAGCGAGCCGACCCTTTTATCACACTCACACACACACGCGCCCTCTCATGTGTGTTATCGTGTTGGCAAAGTTAAAGTGACGTCCACAATTGAGCAGAGCAGCCTTTTTGGCCGCATTAGCGACAATCAATGTGTGGCAGACCGCGCCTATTTTAGTTGCCACGTTGCGCCCAGCATAAATCACATGCAGCACAGCCCCCAAAAATCTACTCGTGTTTCGAGTCCTTCATCAGTGCGCTGAAGTAGCTGCCGGTGTGTTCGTTATTTATTCATAGCAAACGTTCGCATCGCTCTCTCTGCCTCCCGTTTGTAGGTGCTGATGGCATTAGGTGGCAGACGTTTGGTTGTTGCACGGAATGTACCGAAAAATAAATACAGTAAGCCTTAGCGAATCAACCAAAAGCCGCAAAACAATGCGACGCTTGTTGGCATTGTTGCCTTCTCGTTTCATTGTTGTTGTAGGTAGCTACGTGTGTGTGCTTAGCGTTGCGTAAAATAAATCATTTTATTGCGGCACACACACACATACACTCAGAGGCTCACACAGTTTCGTTCAGTTGTTACAAGCAGCCAAGCAAATTGCCAACTGACAAAGCACCAAAGAGAGAAATGCCAGAGCAAAACAAGTGTTTTAAATGAATAAAAATGAGTTGTATAAGGAATATTAAGCGCTTGCCATGCCGAATGAGCTAAGAACATTGCAAACAGCCCGAAATGAGTGCAAAAGGTTGAATCTCGGGCAATTAGAATGAAGCTACGAGTGGGATAAGCTCGAGGCTTAGTTTCACTCAACTGAGTCCCAAATGAATTGAGCCATTCGAACATTGTAAGCTGTTTAGCATAAATATGCCATGGAAATTGTATTTCCAGGCCAATTGACAGCGGATTTAGAAAGATCTAATAACAGGTTGAATCTTTAAGTTCATTCAGAACAACAGCAATTCATTAGAAATATGAATTATATATATATTATATTTGTTTTATTGAAAGGTAATTTAAGCAGAATATTTCAAGTAATTAATTTTGATTTACAGAAATGAATTCCGATGGCTTAGCAGTGGCTATGAAGCAGGTAAGCCCGAATGCCCCCAACTTCGGTTCTGGCTTAAAAAGTATGTTAAATTTATTGCGTTGACAGCAAATCAATTCTGTGAGGCTGCTCAAACTAATTTAGCTGTTGATAAAAGTTGCTCGATTTTGATAAACTTTGTAGCTTAATTAGCTTTTAATTATTAAACAATTTTGCAACCAAAAATGTTGTTGCAAAACAAATTGAATTTTACTTTTTTAATGAAACTATTTCAAATGGGATTTGTGGGTATATTGTTTGTAACTGTATGTAACAGACTGAGATAGAGTTGTGATGCAGCCTAGAATGCATAGATATTTGTGAACAGGTTAGTTCAGGTATGGAGATGCAATGCATATTAAAAATACTCAAGATAAGGAATATAAATCTATGTGGTACACAAATGTTAATTCTCAGATACAGAGAGCAAAGAACTGCAGACGATAAATATGTAAAATCAAAATTAAGTTCAAGTCTTGGATTCTCTTTTTTAGGTTTGCCCTTCAAAGTAGATCATTACAAGTTTAAATCTAGATTTAGATTTAGAAACTAATCTCACAAGTTTCAATGGCTTGTCTTTATTATAAACATTCTTTTTAAGACAACATGGTAGTCAGTCTAGCTGATATACTTAAATCAACATTATCCATTTATATATAAATTATAAACAGAATGTTTCATAGAGTTGCTTCGTTCAAAGCCTAGAGTATCTTCTATTCCATCACTCATTTTTCTTGTTTAATAAAATTTCAAAATGTCAAAACTAAATTTTTTTCTTACATTCACCGAAATTTAGTATAAAATAATTAAATTATTTTGTTGGTAATTTGGTAATGTTTTAATTATTATAATACTAAAAAGGAAGCAATTTGGGCAACATTTTGGACTTAATTAAGTGCAGCAAAAATGCCTAAATTCAGGTATTAAATGCCTAAAACCCCAAGCCTAACCGCCAATTTATGGCTTATGCAAAAAGTAAAATCAATGCGTCTCGTTTAATAATGATTTCAATATACATAAATTAGGTCGCCGCAGCCGAAAAGTATGCAACAAATTTTCAAAGTCTGCTCAGCGCATTCGCAAACAAAGACTGAAAGCAAATTTATACAAAATGCAAGCAATATTCGACATTGTTCTCCCCCTCTCGCTATATATATAGAGTATAAAATATGGCAAATATTTCGCATATGCAGCTCAACATGTCTGTTTATATGTATGTATATGCTCAATAGATACTCGTATTATATTAAGTGAGTCTGTTTGCACAACAGCTTGATCAAACACGCATTGTGCTCATAGTTTATCACTTTTGCTGCGCGCTGAAAGAATTCACATATTACCAGCAAACAGCCTGGCTGGGGTAAGAGAATGAGATTTATGCTAACATTCATGCCATTTTCTAATTAACTTTTGCGCATATTATGCGGATCTCTTTAGCCCAGAGCTGAGCCATCGACCATGTGTTTACCTAGCATTGTGCGTAATTCAATTTCAACTCGCCAAAGACAACTGGCCGGAAACACTAAAAAGCCCGCGTCGAGTTCCAACTTTGCGCTGCCCTGCACAAATATAATTAAAATGCTCAAACGGCAAATGACTCGAATGCCAACGTAATGGCAATAGGGGCAACTACAACAACAGCAAAAGCAACAGCAACAGCAACAACAACAACAACAACAACAAACTCAACGCGCAAACAAGTAAACTTGTCATTTAATTTGCCAGCCAGAGCTCAAAGTGAACGATTCTATAGAAAAAGCAGCTGCTGCTGCTGCTGTTGCTGCTGTTGCTGCTGCTGCCGCTGTTGGCCAAGCATTTCAGCCAGCTGAAATAAGCCAATCAAACTATGGTCAAGTCTTTGATTCGCATCGCTATTTAAATTCTGCGCAAATTTAAGCGCCAAATGAAAAAATATCTTAGAAAATTTGCTTTTGTACATGACGAACTTTGAATGCCCTGTATTCATAAAATAAGCAAGTATGCAATTATAGTAAAGTTATCAATATTAGGATACACCTTAGCCTTCAAATTTATCCATTAGATAAATTCCACATTTCAAGCTTAAAGAGGAACTCTACATTTTCGAGAGAAATAACTTAAGGTCCTTCCCTACACATTTTCTTCTTGGAGTCCTGTAAATTTTTTAAGGAGTGATAATAAAAATATATAAATTATTTTTAAAGTGCTGCAACACCCTATTCAAATTTGAAGAATTTTCTCAAATTTTGACCTCGAAAAGCTCTCTTGATGATGTTCCACAATATCTATAATATGAACATTTAGGAAGATTTCTACGCCTGGATTCATAATAATCTTGTCCTATGGCATCATCACTTGCCGCCCATAGAGCCACTGGCATGCCCTTAATCTAAGCTAAAGGGTATTCGACTGAAAAGTGTTGCATTTCACACAGCTTTCGGGGCGCTTTGAGTGGAGCGCACGGGGTGGTGCAGGCGGTTCGAGTGGTGCCAGATGGCGAACTAACTGCAATTTCTATTTTGTTGCCAGTTTTAAAAACGAATCTTGTGTTATTTCCGTCAAAAGAGTAATTAAACGGACAAAGCAAACGGCAATGCAACACACACGCGAGGGCAGCTCAATTAGTTGTCAAACAAACAACTTAATAACTGGCATTAGGCATCGAATGACCCGCGCTCAGTTGGCTTTTCTTATGGCCGGCGGACATTGCGGCGCTGTGGTCTGCAGAAGACAACGTCTATGTTGAAGGCATGAGGAGCATGTCGACAGGAACGCAAAACATTGTAAATAAAATGAAAAGGGCTACAGAGACAGAGAGAGATAGGCACAGAGTGAGAGAGAGATGGACACAGAGTGAGTGCAATGCAGCAGCTTCTGGGCAACTCTGGCCGGGCTTCGCTTGAGCGTGTTGCAAGGGAATGCAATGTGTCTGCCATTCTGACCTGCGGGTGCTTTTGTGTTAATTGCGGTTGCATTTAATTACAGTTCGTTGCATTTGCCGCATGTTGGACTGTCTGACTACCTGAGTGGAGGCAGCGAGCGTCGCCATATACTTACATTCCTGCCCCTGCCACGTGCCACGTGCCACACACTAAGGTTTTTAATTAAAGTTACAAAGAATTCGACTGCCAACTTCTGAGCTCGGCCTGGTTCAACTTGAGCTCCTAAACCTCGACCGCCCACCCTCTCTCTATCGGCCGATGTGTGCGCAGGCGGCCATAATTAGCAAACCAAACAGCACACAGAGGCCAGCCAACCAGCCAGCCAGCCAGCCAGCCAACCAGCCAACCAGCCACCCAGATGACATACACAGGCCGCAACATGATTTGCATAAGCCACACGCAGAGGCTACGCTAGATTACGCATACGCCGCAGTGTACAAACATTGCTCGCAGCAACTCAATTATGTGTATTAGTATTGGTAAAAGTATTTAATGGTAGGAGCTAAGCTAGCTTGCCCGACAGCGAGTTGATAATGTCCACAATGCTCACATAGGTGCCCACCACGCCGCCAAAGATGCCAAAGAGCAACAGCAGCAGATTGACTATGAGTCTAATGCCACAAGGTCCATAGCCCGTCGCGTATTGCACGCAGATCTGCAGCAGAGCCGGAAAGATGAGGCCCAGCACAGACAGGCAGAAGGAGCCGACCAGCGAGAGGAAGAGCGACAGATCCGGTATGGCAACAGCGCAGCCAACTGAAAGAGCAATAGATACATAAATCAATCAGCCTCTCGCCTCTCATCACCTGCTGATTAACTCACAGGTGAGCAGCACAATTAACGCTCGAAAGCACAGCTCATAGAACGTATGCTTTTTGGTGTTCGCAATGCGTTTGCTCAAATATTGACCCCACAATATGTGCGCGGTGACATAACCCTGCAGCGCATAGGATATGTATGTGGTCACAGCGAAAAAGATCTTGACCACCTGAGCGAGACTGAAACACAAAATATATCACATTATACACACACACGCGCACGCATACACTCTCATACATACACCTCCGTTTCGGGTATATTGAGCGTGACACTGCCCAAAGCAGCTTCGCCGTATTTCCAATAGCCAAAGAAGCCTAGAAATATGTAGAGGCTCAGGACGACGGTCATGCCCCAGTTCATGATGCCGCAGGGCTGCACATAGGCACGCGGCGTGGCCATGTTCTCCTCTATAGCTAAGATCTAAAGAATATATAATTATCCAATATATAAATATATATACATCCATATATCGTAAAAACACCTACCACGCCCACAGCCTCCAGAGCAAAGAGCACAGTGCCAAAGAATGTGGGCAGCTTTGAGTAATGCACGAATGCATTGCGTTCACTGAGCGGCGGCAAGTTCTCAAATATATAATACAACACAATGCCAAAGCCTGCAGAGTAGTGAAAACAGTTAACACGAGTTGTCTAGAGAGTAGCAGAGGTTTTACCTACCCACAAAGAGCAACAAGTTGGCAGCACTGGAGAAGGGCGCCAGCAGCTTCAAGTTGCGTATACTGAAGATCAGCATGAGCGGAATGATGAGGAAGCACATGTGCAGACGCACATCCAGGACGACGAGATACTCGTCCACCAGCTGCTTAATGCTCTCCGCTATGAAGACCACATAGACACAGCAGATGCCAAAGTGATAGAAGGCCAAGAAGCCATCCACAAAAGGACTAGAAGCGTGGTGGATAGAAAGATTGATTGGAGAATGATATATATAAAGATGAATAGATAGATGAAGGAATCGTTAGATAGATTGCGGATAGAAGAAAGGAAAGACAAATGCATAAATATATGTTTATTGATAGGTAGCTAAAAATAGTATAAATGGATAGATAGAGATAGATAATATAGGAAGCAATGTGTATAGATAAATAGGGCGATAGATATATGATATATATAGATAGATAGATAGATTAATATATACAAATATAGATGAATCTATAGTTGCCTGATATATGGGTAAGCAGATAAATAGATAGACAGATAGATAGAGAGAATATATTTTACAGATACATAGATGTTTAATATATTAAACTATAAATCTATGTATCTGAAATATAGATTGGTAGACTGATAGATTAATAGATAGATCAATATATAACTTAATATATAGATTGAAATATGGATGACAATAAGATATAAATAGGTAGATAGATTTATAGATTAATGGATAGATAGATAGATAGATAGATAGATAGATAGATAGATAAACACATTAAAATATAGAAAAATGGTTGATAAAAGAATATTAAATAGACAGATGAATAATATACGATAGATTAACAGATAAATAGATAGAAAGACAGTTATCTTGATGATGGATAGATTCATTTACACATCTTAACATATTGATAAAATAACATACATAACGGAACGATAAACTTACGCAGCAATTGGAGCCAAGCAGCGCAGCATAGGCGGACCCTCTTGCAAGCCAAGTCGCATGGACTCCGAAAAGCTGATGTAGGGCACACGCTGACGCTTGCAGAGTATGTACATGCTGTTGATCTGCATATGGAAGATCAGTTAGCTGATAAATGATCAGCAATATGCGGGACTCACCAATATGTGCAGGCAATATAGAGCCAGCAGTCCAATGACAGCTGTCAGAATAAGTCCGTTCACGTAGCCCGCATGCGCGAAGGCGCTGGGCATGGCCAGCACTCCAGTGCCGACAGAAGCTTTCAGGAAGTGCGCAAAGGTTTGCCAGTTGCTGGAGTTATCCAAAAATAACATTTATTGTAAATGTGCATGTAATTGCTCCATCTTCTCTCTCTCTGTCGATACTCACTTGGTTGGATTCTTAACTTTACGATGCATGTGAGGATCGTAGTCATCAATTATTGCCTTGGTCGTTGGCACAACCGAATCATTTTTGTTATCGTTTCTAAGAGAAGTTCAAATCAAATTAGTGATTTTTATAATGCCGTTCAGCCATCGCCGATGACTCGGTCAGCGTTTATTAGCTGATAAATTCGGCCACAAGGCACAAAAACAGTTATAAATTTTTATGAACTCAATAAATGTGGTAATTGTTTATAAAGCAGTTATCATTATTGTCTTTTTATGAAGAGAAAACTGAAGTATGAAAATACCTCAAGTTCAGTTCAAGAGATAATTTAACAAGACAAAAAAAACAAACAAACAAGTTTAAAATAAAGTTAAATTTGTTTAAACCATATTTTATAATTTATGGTAGCAAAAATAAATAAACAAAAAATTACTATTGGGCATATTTAATGCCGCTTTGTGAGCTCATCCGTTAGCTAAGAGCTGACGACTGTATATTCGGAAAGTTAGATTGTTTAATTTACTCACTGCATTGTCAGGCGAAGGTAGCGACAGATTATTTGTGGAAGCTACTAGGCTAAAACATAAATCGTTTATCACACACGGAAGGCTATTAAGATAAAAAGATAGGATTTACGTCTACTCTTTTCTACTTTTCTACTCTTTTGTTGTGGGAGCCACAACCAAACGATATGCCCACCGCGCAGCTACTAAACAGTGAACGCACGTCAATTCAGCTCGAGAGCCCCGAAACAAATGAAACACCTAAGAAACCACAAAAATCCTATTATCCCAAGTCAATTTATTAAACAATTACAATAGAAAGAAAGCAAAAAATGCTATACTATATATAATTTATATATATGTATATTATATTTTATGAAGTGCTCGACAACGTGTCATACTCGTCTGACTCGTATATCCAGAATTTGAAGATTAATTAGAGATCGTTTCAAAGTTTCGGCTATATTATTTGCGATCAAAGCTTTATACGAGCAGAGACTGGGCATTTAACCGGGACAACAACCAGCTCTTTTTAGATCATTTACATTTACTAGCTACTTATACTTAAGTGGCATTAAAAGTTATTCTAGATATCAACCCAATGCTTAACTGAAAGAAGTATGTATGAAGTAATAATTGCGTACAAACGTATGAACGTTTACTGCAATCAGATCGTTTCAGTTACATGATTTGTGATCAAAGCGAGTAAAGACAGTGCATTTAACCGAGAGAACAACCAGACAATCTCCTGCTTAGAACATTTTAGACCAGGTACGACTTGCCTATACTTGTGTAAGAGCTTTCGAACTTAGTCTAGACAGCAACCTTAAAAGCATTACCAATGGAATCTTTTGGGTAAGCTGGCCGCGCATTCTAGTGTAGACACAAACCTACTGCTTAACTAAAAACTGACTGCTGAAGCACTCAACCAACTGTGTTGCCGGCCTCTTAAAGCTTTAGAGCGATCTGATTGTTTGAAGAAAGCTTACTCTTTGCGCTTGTCGCTCTTCTACACACTCTTGCTTGCTGCCACATATATTTATAACGCTCATATATTATTTTTTGTTTTTATTCCGCACCGAAAAGCTGTTCAAAGCAGACGTGGATTTCGCTCGTCTCTCTTCTAAAAAAAAGCTATCCGGCGGGCAGAGAAAATGCTTTTTTATATTCATATATAATACTATAATAATACACCATAACTAATTAAATGTGTTTCAAGTGCAATTTTATTCAATCTTAACCGGTTTTTATAACTAAATTTTCCCATTTTTTTACGTGAAGTAAAAGGTTCGGCGATAAATTTGTTAAGCACATAAATTAGTTTATATTTCATATATACAAACTATATTTACATAAATGTGCATGCGTATATGTGTGGTAACTGTTTATTTGCTGAATATGATATATCAAATAAATAATAAATAAATAGATAAAAACGAAGAGGAAAATAAATATCGAGTAATAATAAACCAACAACAAACAACAGAGAAAAGCTAAACTATGGTTTATTCCATAAAGGTAAAGCCTAAAACAAAAATATGTCACCTTTCTTTGTTCCCCGCCCATGCCCAAAACTTGTTGCTAAAATTTAGACCAAAAACGACGATGTCTAGACTAAACTTGTTTTTAGACTTTTACTCGTTGTTGTCGCCGACCATAGATCGAGTGAAAGAAGATGCTTCAATGTAAGCGACTTGCCGGGCACTCTTTGTTTGTTATGAAACAGCTGCGAGATGTCGCCGAGCCCATTATACTATATAGATATATTCCAGATATCTATCAGGCGCCTAGTTAATGACCGAGGTGACTGCAAATATGCAAAGCAGTTTCATAAGGAGTGTCTATCACGGACAGTGCAGTGTATATGTATGACGGATACCGTTCGGATGTGAGTGATTTATGTAGCTGGCAGAGTAACCAGTGAATATTTAAGTCTAGTACAGCAACCACTTTGGTGGCTTAGTTTTTAGTTCAGCTAAAGCTGACAAAGAAACCGACACAAATTTAGTTCTTGTACGAACTTTTGGAGCTTTTAAGATATATTCACAAAATTTTTAGCAAGCTTGCTTAAAGAATTCATTTCTAATATTGCTGAGATGGTACGCTAAGTAGTTAGTTAGCAGCAGTTGTGCGAAACTTTGCTTCTTATATAGCTGCCCAGAAAATCAACTAATATAGCAGCCAGAGTAACCAACGTACATTTAGTTCCAGTAGCAACATATTTTTAGAATTTAATTTCAAGTTCAACTGGCAAGGAAACCAATAAAAACTTTAGTTCTTGTATGAACAACTTTTTAGATTTTCAAAATAACTTGATCAAATTTGGCATATAGGTGTATGACCATAATCCCTATATATGAACAAAATCTTATTCATTTATCTTCAGTATAACTGCCCTGGAAAGGAATTGAAATGTAGCTCTCCAAAAGCTACAAAGAAACTAACTAAAACTTAGTTCATGTATGAAAAACTATTTGGGATTTTATGATATCTTGATCAAATTTCGAACATATTTACTAGAGCGAAGTACCTGTAACTCCTGATAGATCAGAGCGACTCTAAATACAATTTCCATCCAAGTATAAACTTAGGATGAAAGTTTTCCTGTACTAAAACTCTTTTCATATCCATTTGTTACAAGGGATTACAAATAAAGCTTCTGTTATAGCTAACGGTCGCTCTTTCTATGTAAACAGGCCTTAGAACAATTCAATCCGACCTATAAATAAATATTACTAGTAATTATTTAGTCAAGCGAATGCCAGACATGTTAATTACCATTCGTTCGCTTTACCTGGCTGAACACCATATTGAGCATTTACTGTGACGTATGCATTGCCCTCACAATCGGATTGATTGACTCTAAATGTCAGTTTCTGGCTATCGCCTGATAGTTTATCATTTAACCAAATCAATAATATTTAGAACATGGAACTTATTTCATACATTTACAAGATTTCCTCGAGGCTCTACTGAGTAGTTGATCTAAAAACAATTTAAGATACAAAATAAAAAAATTACAAAACATGTCAGCTAATATATAATTCCCCTATTATAATAATTATTATTACTAAAATAATTATTATAATAGTATCTACCATTAGGGCAGAATCGTGAGCTCAAGTATAAAATGTGATTTTCATTTCCTATTTCCCACTTTTTTTTTGCTTTTTTTTTTGCTGACCCTTTCAACTTGGCTTAATGTCGCACGCGATCTCTCAGACTCGATTTTGGTAGCTCGCTTGATTGATCCATAGAATAGTTGCCCAAGTTGTCAATTAAGGGGCGTAGCACATCGCACAAGTAGACCTTAGAGATCTAGGCACTCTCTTCAACTGCTCCGGCATCGGCATACTATAAGTTGCACACTTAATGATAAGCCTCAAACATTTCATAAGCTACCAGTCGCCGTATCTCAAGTCTCGCTGATAGCGATAAGTCATTATAAACATTATTATTATTATTATTATTATTTTTATGGTCGTCGGGCTAGACCGTGGCATACAATTGCTACCTAAGGTTAGTGGCTAGCTAAACATGATGGTGGTAAGATGTTTACAGTGGAAACTATTTCGTCTACATTGGAAATATTACGCGAAATTCCAATCTCTCTATCTCTCTTTATATATAATGAATCATGCGATTCGCTTCGGTACCCAGGGGGTACGGTTATCAGAAAAGCTAGTCTGGTCTATTTTTGGTACAATAACAAACAAACAATATTGCAAAATACTTTCAATTTGCTAGCTGCTCTATCGGTCTATGAAGAGAAATTTCAGTATAAAGGTTTTTGAAGAGTCGCCTCTATTGATTTAGGGTGAAACATTAACTAAATTGAGTAATATTTATTCTCTGTTCAGTGAACATTTAACTAATTTCAATGTTTTTCCTTTTAGAACAGTGAAACTGGTGAGTTTGAGTATTTCTATACCGATTCAGCACGCATCAAGCAGCCAAAATATGATGAAGAGACCGGCGAACCGGTCTACGATCAAATGAAAGTCCGCTACCGCAAGCATGGCAACTTCCATGTGCCCAAGCGCTATTTGCGTGGCACCATTTGCGACGAGGTGGACAAGGTGCTGGCCAACAAGCATCACGAGGATTGGGCAAAGCATGTGATCGGCAGCAAAGCCACAAAGAGCGCCTCCAATGAAAAGAAAACGACGCCCGGCTACGAGCGCGAGGATTACATCAAAATGGATGGCGTGAGTAGCGTAAGTCGAACATGGAATTTCATAATGTTGCCAAACATTGTCTAACACCTGCCTTTATCTGTAGAACATCATATTGGGCTACGAACGCAACAACTCCTTCCTGCTGTTTCTGATACCCACACTCTTCTCGTGGAACCTCTTTCTGTGCGGTTTGCTCTCCCTGCTGGAGATCGGGCTGCACATGATGTCGCACTACAAGAACTCCCTGACCATGCAGAAGAACCTATATTTTCGCAGTCCACTTCACGTCCTCTCCTCCCAGTTCTGTGCGATCTGCCGCAACGAGTCCGGCAGCAAATACAATCGCACCTTCGACATACTCAACGAACAGATGCGAGTGGCGCATCGCACCGCATTGAAGAACATGGCCAAGGCCATGGGCTGAGTTGCGAATGCACCAATATTTTCAACAATTGTAAACAATTTTACACTTTAATGGTTAAAAACGATTATCGTTTCACGTTTAACAACAATAAATGCACAAATATATCACCTGAGTACCTGAACAGTATTTCTAAATAGCCTTCTTTCTGATTGCAACCGCGTGTTAAACGGATATTTGTGCCATGGGCTTGACGTTTGGCGAGACGCTGAACTTGGCTCCTGTGCAGGCTGCAATGTCGTCCACGGTGTAGCCCTCGGCGAATTCCAATAGGGTCAGACCAACGCCTTTCTCCACCTGAAAGACAGCCTTTTCCGAGATGATCAAATCGATGACGCCCTTGCCGGTCAGCGGCAATGAGCAGCTCTCGAGAATCTTGGGGGAGCCATCGCGCGCATTGTGCTCCATGGTAATGATGACCTTGGTGCCAGGTGCCGCCACCAGATCCATGGCGCCGCCCATGCCCTTCACAAGCTTGCCCTGCAAGAGAAAAAACAGCATTAGAAAACAAACAAATAGATTGGTTTTAACCTCTCTTACGGGTATCATCCAGTTGGCCAAGTCACCCGTTGCGGATACCTCCATGGCGCCCAGAATGGTGAGGTCTACGTGACCGCCACGAATCATGGCAAAGCTTTCGTCGGAGCCGAAGTAGGCAGCACCTGGCATTACGGTAACGCTCTCCTTGCCCGCATTGATCAAGTCCGGATCGACTTGATCCTTGGTGGGGAACGGACCCAGTCCCAAGATGCCATTCTCCGACTGCAACATGACGTTCATGCCCTGCGGTATGTAGTTGGAGGAAAGCACGGGAATGCCAATGCCCAAATTGGCGTACATGCCGTCGCGGAACTCTAGAGCCACTCGGCGAGCGATGCGTTCACGCAAAGCTTGGCCAGGGCTGGTCTCTGCAGCAGTCTCTCCATTCTGCTTGGGCTCTGTTATGCGCAAGCGCTCGACGCGCTTGTTGTAGTTGGTGCCCTTGAAGATGCGCTTCACATAGATGCCAGGCACGTGGATCTCATCTGGCGAGATGGCGCCCACGGGCACAATTTCTTCCACCTCAGCGACCGTAATCTTAGCAGCACGGCACATGGGCGCATTGAAATTACGCGCAGATTTGTTAAAGATCAGATTGCCCAGAGGATCCGCCTTTTGAGCTTTCACAAAGGCAAAGTCAGCGAAAATGGACTCCTCCATGACATAGTTGCGACCATTGAATGATTGCACAGGCTTCGCAGCGCTCGACACTGTCACCTTGCCATTTTTGTCATACTTGATGGGTGCACCGCCCTGCTGCACCAGCGTCGCATAACCAGTGGGTGTAAAGAAGGCGGGTATGCCGGCACCACCGGCGCGTATCTTCTCTGCCAAAGTGCCCTGTGGAGTCAGCTCAACAGCTAGCTCGCCGGCCAGGTATTGACGCACCAGCTCGGTATTCTCGCCTACATACGATCCAATTACCTTGGACAATTGCTTTTGTTTAATCAGCACGCCCAAGCCGCAATCGTCAACACCTACAGATAAGAAAGATAACGTTTATGCAAAGATTTTACAAGAACTATAAGCTGTTATCAGATTTTCATAACGGCTGGCAACTCTATAGCCTATTGGGCATGCCACCTTGAATAGGTTAATGAACCAAAGAACTAGTTTTGAAAACCAATTACTAACAAGTGCCAATGTTATAATATACATGTCGCCCCTGTTTTATATTGGTTCAGGAGCCAATATCTTGCTGTTGCAACTTATTCATTCACGAACTAGCTAGCCTGCGAACCAGTTTCAGCAACTGCCTGCTAACAGCTGTCATACTGTTATAATTTGCGCACCTCCATTGTTGGACACTCCAGTAATGTTCTTGACACCCTTCTGCTTGAGTGCCTCAATCATCTTTTCGGGAATGCCGCAAATGCCGAAACCTCCAAAGAGTATTTTAGATCCATCCTTAACGTCGGCCACCGCATCGCTGGCCGATTCGTAGATTTTACCCTGGCGCCGTTGGCCCGCAGTCGAGTAGCAGGCAACGAGCTGAAAGTGGAAAGCGGGTGATCAGGTGTTTAAATTACATTCAGTTCTAGCACGTCATTTGCATACTTGTTTGCCACGATTAGTTCATGGAGATTGTGTTCATGTTCTATGTTGTTATTTGCGCGAAACTTACGTAACAAAGCCATTTTAATAAATTAGAGGCGCGTGTGTGGTGGGGGGAACTAGTTCGTGTGGGGCGACAGCAATCATATTGCTTATCAACGTAGCCAGGCAGCTAGCCAAGCTGTCCCTAAGTGAGCTTATCTATCAATCTGAACTAAAACATTTTTATGAGTCCGACCTGCAGGGTTCTGTGATTATTTTTAATAAAGCAGCATGTGGTTCGGAAACACCTGCTTAATACTCGTTTTGTTTTTGTTTTACAAAATATATTTAGCATAAGAATTATCAACATATGTTGTTATTGCATTGTCTATCCGTGTCTCGCTCACCTTGAACGTTGGGTTCTTGTTGCCCAGGCGGTTATACGCAGCTAAGCCACGCAACATAATGTAATTGATTAAGATTTAAACAAAAAAACTTTCCACTTAAATAATAAACTTGTCGCTTAAATCGCGAATTTCACATAAAAACCAGCCGCGATCAATCAGAGCCCAACACTGACATTTCTGGACCGACACAACAACATTAACATTCACCAAAATGTTATTAACAGTGCGCAATCGCTGCTATCGATTAATCTGTACACATCGTAATACATCGTTGCTGCACAGCCAGCAACTATCGACCACAGCTGATTTCTGCAATAACAAAGCAGTTTTCAAAACACTTTTGTTTATAACAAAAGTACGCACGAACGCAAGCATATACACGGCCTCAGACCAAAGATTCCTTTAATAACAAACAAAAAAAATCAAGTTAATTGTGATAATTGTGAACCAAATCAACTGAGCTTACACCTAAAACCAAAATGGCGTATTAAATTGTTTTTGTTGCCTGTGGTTTTCCGGACTGTTTTTATTCTTTTTTTTTTCTTGTTTTTGTGCAAGGTCTGTTGATTTTGTGCTATTATATACTATGTATCAATGTACAAATACTCGTATATGACTGTGTCTATTTCATGACCAGCGTCAGAAAGAATTTACGCAGTTTAGAAATTGGACATGTTCGGTGTGAACATTGTTTATTGTTTTTTATGTTTACATCGCAGCTGTTGTTTTTATTGTTGTTTATGTTGGTGTTGATGCTGTCGTTGCCCGATAAGCGCATCTTTTTAATTGCTAAGCGGTCAATTCATTAATTATGTGTTGTCTATTGATCAAGCGCTGAAGTAGGCGTCGCGTGCAGCCTGCTTCTAGTTGGCTCGCTTATCGTCCATTCTGCGTGCATGAACCGTTACATTAACCGTTAAAGACACGCATCATTGCCAGCTGTTTACTCTGATGGCAAGCTGTATGTGATATGTGCCAGCCCCCTTCCCCATACAAATCATGCCACTGAGTACCCGGCTTTGAATTCGCTTGACAACCGAATGCAGTGGCATTTGTCTATAAATAGCAAATCGAATAGTTTTCCTGCATCAGCAACAACAACAACAACAACTGTAAAAGTTTCCATTGTCGTTCGTCCAAATAATCAGCTTCACCGGCCTCTGTCTTGCTGCTGCTGACTACTAATAATCTCCGCAAGCAAACGATGCTTTTTCCCCTCCCCATTTCGCCCCTCTCCCACGCATACGCACGCATATTTACACACAAATGCACTTAAATACTTATATTCGTAATTTACTTGTTTAATTACAGCTGGCAGGCAATCGCTAGTACTTTGCAGCCTTTCGTTCAGTTCTGTTCCAACGCTTATTGCGGCCACAACGTTGTCCGATGCTCGTGAAGACAGCAGCAGAAGAAGTAGCCGTAGCAGCAGCAGTAGAAGCAGAAGTCAGCAGGGATCGTGTGTTCTGTCATGGCCAACGAGCAGCAGCTGGAGGAGGAGCAACGTCAACTGCTGCTGCATACGCTGAACAGACTTTGGAGCCATTATCTGCACCCCTCCGACTCTGAGACAGTTGATAAGCAGGCAGCGAGTGTCAAGGTTTGTATGAAACTCGGATATCAATTTAATGTGTGCATTCGCTCACATTATCAGCTTCGCTTGCAGGAACACTGGCTCTGGCAATTGCTGTATAATTTTCAATACTTGGACGAGCAAACATTGCAAGATGCGCAGTTCAATAGGTAAGTAGAATGCAATGGAAGATAACACAACTTTAATTGAATTGCTTTACATTGCAGCAACTTCAATCAGCTGCCCGAAGAGCTGTGCTCCTATTTGCTGGAGCAGGTGTATCAAATCATCAGTGCAGCGAAACGTTCACAGGAATCCGAGCAATCAGACAAATGCATAATGCAGCTGCGCAAACAGCATAATCTAGCACAGGTGAATATTTATATATATGAATATAATATATGTATATAAACATTTTAAATGATTCATTGCAGCTTATTTTGAGCACACCCAGTGACTGCAATAAGATTTTGGCCCTGAGAACTTTTCTAACCAACGGCTTGGGTCAGCACTTGCTCGCCTTTCTACTACGCGTGCAAATTAAGGCAAGTATAGTAAGCCTCCATGTAGCATTGTTATCAGTAATTGTATTTTACAGCATATCGCTTCGCAAAAGAGCCTCTGCCAGTTGTGCATCAAACTGTTTCCCAATTGCAAATGGAGCGCAGAAAATGTACCACTGCAGCCGCTGACCAGCATTTCCCAGTTCATAGGCAGCTTTCACCTGAACTCACAGCGCAATAAAACGCGTCGTCAGCAACAGCAACAGCAGCAGCAGCAGGTACAGCAACAACAGCCGCAGCAACAACAGTTGCAGCAACAAGTGCAGCTACCTATTGAAATTATTGACAGCTTCGATGAATTTAAAAATGCTTCTAAAACAAGTGATGAACTGGCACTGCTGCTCATTCAGTTGCTTTCGCGCTGCGTCGATGCAGAGCAGGAGCCGCAGCTAAGTGTAACTGTGCACAACTTTGCGCTTGGACATTTGTGCAGCAGCTGCGTAGATGAGCGAGAGCAGGAGCTGGAGCTGGACCTGCCCGATCGCAAGAACGATGAGATTATTAAATTTGAGCTGCTGCAGCTGATTGCGCAGTGTGTCAACAATTTTTATATACACGAGCAGCAGCCCAGCTCCTTGGACTTCAACAGTCAATGCAGTCAACTGCTCTATGCGTTGGCTGCCAATCGCAGCAGCTCGATGCTCTCACATGCTGTGCTCTACATTATGTTTGGCACACTGCACAATCTGGTGGAGTTCGGTGCTCAGCAGCTGACTCAAATCGATGTGAAACACTTCGACACCTGTTTCGATGTGCTACAAGAGGCGGCTGCATCCACCACCTGCACCTCATTGCTCTTTCTACACATCTACAAGCTGCTGCTGCGCCTTACGGATCACTTGTCGCGCCAGGAACAGCAACTGCAGTGCCTTATGGAGAGCAGCACATCTAGTGCTTTGGTCAAGCAACAGCAACAAAATCAGCCACCACGCTACAAGCGTCTACGTCACAGTCAGCTGCATTGCACGGAGCGTTCGCTCACCTGTTACTTTCAAGGCAAACTATATCAATTGTTGCCCAATCTAGTGCCGGAGCTGCAGGAGCATACCGTGCGCTTGCTGCTACGCACCGGCAGTTGTTGCTGCCACTACAATGCGACCAACTATGCCACTTGTCTGCGTCTGGCTACCCAACTCTCCGGCAGCTATCAGAAATGCGCCTACAAGTTTCTCCACTACAACGTGCTGCACACCATCTTCGTGAAGCGTTCGCCACAGCATTGCGCCGTTTGCGAGGAAAAGCTCAAATCGCCAGCATTTCACACACAACTTCTGAGCATCTATAAGGATAGCTACCGAGCATTGTTAAACAGCGGCTCGATGCTGCTCTTCCTGAAGCATCTGAAACATATTGCCTATTTGCTATCTTATGATCTCGCAGCTGGCATTCTGGCTGAGGTGGCGTTGCCTGTTTTTCGGCAATACAAACAGCTCAGTGACTGCAAGACCAAGACGAATCCAGTGCACAAACTGCCGCGTCTGCAACTGCCCTGCAAGCTGGAAAACTATCGTATTCTACACGAATGTCTCAGCATTTTTGTGATGTACCTCAGCGACATACGACTTGTCAAGGCCTTCTACAACGAGGAGAACATTGGCTATATGCAAGACTTGTTGTGTGTGCCGGAGTTGCAACGCGGCGTCTGTGATCTCATCAAGGTGGGCATCGATAATATTGCCTTTCTAGGCGACAACAGCCACGAGCAGATCGCTCTGAGCCGTCGTCTCATACAACTGCAGTTAAATAGCAGCGATCGCGCCTCGCGATTGTTCCAAGCGCTGCTTCACAGATGCGCCAAGCGCTCGAATGTCAAATTCTGGCTGGAAGAGTCGGCCAATACATCGCTGTTAGAGGGACATAAGCCAGTAGATATTCTATATATAACCGCACTCCAGTGGACACTCAACTATGAGTTACTCAAGACCAGTCAACTGTTCTACAATGAGTTTGCCAAAATATACTCGATACCCGTGGAAATGACTGTTGACGATGACGACGACGCTGAGGAGGAGCAGCAGCAGCAACAACAGCAGCTGCCCCAGCTAGAGCAGGAGGAGAAGTTGCGGCATGGCGATAAGACAATCATTGACATACTCAAGCTCAACTACAATGCACTAAGTTGTTTCCTAATGCTGCCGAAAGCCGCAGTCGCCGTAACCTCAACCGCAGCGACAACCCCAGCGACGCCAACAATGCCGTCCATTCGTGGCTCAAGTTCATTGGAGGCGCTCGTCTCGCACGTACAGCTACCGCTCAGTCTGATGTCAGCCTCCGCGACGACTGCAGCCAGTTCGGACTATGCTGATTCCTCCTTGGACTACGCCTCAGTCATCAATAACTACGCGAAGCAGCCAGCATTGCCATCCTTTCTGCAGCAATTGCAGTCTAGCCAACCCGACGAGAGTATTGTGCTCTTCGACATACGCGGAAGCCAACCCAATAACAATAACAACAGCAAAGTTGAATCAGTGCCACTGGCACTAACCAGCGTTGTAGCAGAGGATGAGGTAGCTGCAGCGGGACTAATTAGCAAGCTGTTTAATATTGTCGGCTCGCTATTCGGAGGGAGCACGGCCTCCCCCGAGCAACGTGCCACACCGGAGCCAAGCCTGGACATCGATGCAGATTTGTTTTGCCTCTACGAGCCGAATGGGGAGTGCAAGAAACTGTTGCTAAAACTCTTCGAGGCGACCATGGCCATATGCATCAAGGGCTTTCAGAACGAAGAAGGTGAGTTGGCCACACACCACAAAAGAGTGTGAACTTGGGAATGGGCGCTTAAGTGCTTAGAATACCCTACAGCTCTAGGGTAAATAAGTGAGCTCCAGCCACATGTGATCAAATGTGAATATGATTTGGCTGCGTAATTAGAAATTTCTATATTTATAGCAGCTTAGAAATTCGAACTAATTTGTTTGAATAATTCCAAACCCGTTTGTAGTTTTGATTTATATGCCACAGTCCACGTCATCTAGGTAGCTCTATGTCATGTAGTTATGCTACCTAGCTCTTCCAGTTCTGGTTCTGGCTCTGGTGCTGTTCACATTCCGCGGCTAA